GGGCCTGGAGCCTGGGGCTCGCTCGGGCCACTTCGGGGGTGGGGTGCCCTCGGCCTCTTGGCCTGGGGCTCGGTCACTCTGGCACAGCTGGCTGCCGGCGGAGCTCCCGGGCACGTCACTGCAACCCCCCCTGGCTTCTGCTCCGCGGCTGCTGAGTGAGCCCTGTTACGAGTTCAAAATTGGGGATGGAGACAAGAGAAAAAACCACAATAACAACACTGGTCCGGCCGGGTTAAGTCAAACGATGATTTTAATAGTCACACGCGTGGGAGATGGACACTGTATGCAGACAGCCTCAGATCTCAAAATGGTGGAGCATTAATCAAACTCTTATAGCCTCTGGTTCTCCCACCTTATCATAAAAGCCTAAACATTCACATACTTTTCTCTCACACGGCGCCTAAGCTACGACCTTGGCTCCCTATTTATCTGCTCCTGCTGAGATGGGGCAGAAAACTCCAGTATGCTCTGTTCTCTTCTAATCAGACAAATAAGGCGATGACTTTCTGCAAATAGTATTTCTTATAACATCATAAAACAATATCATTCATCCACAATAAATCAGCAGTCTAATGTAATGCAAATCAGTTTAACTAATGCAATAGTTATCAGCTTCTTCTAATTCAGGAGAATAATGCAAACTAAAACTACATAATAATTCACAATCTTTAATTAGGGGTATAACATGGCATAAAATAATATTATAATTTAACACTCCCCCTGATGAGCTCGTTAGAATAATGAGCTCACCAACACCCTATAATCCATTGTGGCCGGGTTCATTTCTTCTCACTCCTGAGGTCCTTTGTCCCCCTGATGGGCGAACCATATGTGAAATGACCTCTGTGTTTGCGCAGTTCAGGTGCAAGACAAACTATTATTACAACAATATCAGGTACATATGACACTCCCCAGTTCTCCCACAGCTTTATTTGGTGCTACCTTATACCCTTCAGACGTACTCAGACTAGAACCTCTGTCCAAGGAGCTTTTAGCCTTTATTTTATTGCTGCAGCTACCAGTGTCGTCCAGTTGGGTGATCCTCTGCTCTTCTTTCTTCAACCTCAGGGGTTAGACAACCCTTCAGTCGTGGCACAGATCAGGGGATTATTCTGCCCCGATTTCAAACAACGATCTGTCTATCCTCGGGTCCTGTGTGTCCTCCAGAAAAAGATCAGGAACGCGTCCCCCTTTTGCCCAAGAGCCTCTCGAACCTCGTTGGTCTGGTGTTCCTGGATTTCCGCCAACCCCTTCATGGTTATTACTGTGTTTATGGGATCCATCCTTTTGGAGTGACTAGCTGGAGCCCAAACGCCATGACACTTGGACCCAGTTGGTGTCTCGGCAGTCACTGTGTCTATCTCTGCTGCGAAGGATCCTCGTATCTCTGTGACCTCGTCTGGTGTCTGTTCCTTTCTCTGTAAGAGACAGAAAACCAAAACACCTCTCTTCCTAACCCTAATAATCTAATGTTGTTATCTACTGACCTTCTAGTGATTCAGAATTGGCTTAGAATATTCAGAATGTCCCAGGGACTTATTCTAATCATATCCTATGTGTGTGTAAGCGTGTTTGCATTATGCCCTCTGCACTCAAGGCATTTTCCTACACTTTATCAGTCCGGACCATCACGCCGAACGAAGCTTATGACCTTCAAAAGGCCGAGTGCCAACTCATTATAAGCACATTTGCAAGGTGTGTCTGAAAATTACTAAAACCACTCATATTAAGAAAAGACATCAAAAACAAATTAGCCATTTTTAATCCTCACATTTGCCCCCCAAAAATCATGTGTTTGCTTCCGCCTACTGTCCCTTATGGAGACACAATATTGCAGCTACAAGGTCTCCCAGGTTGATAAGTTGATCTGCGTGTGATGCTCTGACTCAAGTATATAATCTTAAAAGAATGTCATTTAATCAACTACCACTACTTAAAACTTAACTTAAAGATATAATTGAATAAAAGATCACAAAGAATACCATGATATCAGTGTTATGTAAGCGCGTGCGGCCTTCTATGCTCGAAGTCACTCCACACCATAGATCAGCCAAACATCGCATTGACTGTAGCTTTTAACCCTTATTAACTTGAGCACAACTCTATAATGAGCAACAAACTGCAATATGTATAAAAATGATCATGGTTACACCTGCAATAGAAGATCATATGATTATCCTGACACCTGTGAATATACGATTAAGAATAGAAGATTAACCTGCGATTATAACAATCACTGGAACACAAATGTTAGGACAATGTCAAAAGCTTCAATAAATGTTTAATGCAATGCTTATTATATGATTCTGGTGCAATAATAATGCTGATGCTAAAATAACAGTAAAACACCCCCTTTTATCCCGTTTAACTTGACATCTAAATGTTTATCTGGGACTCTCCTCAGGGACAGTGGCGCGGCTGCCCCTCTGTTAGTCTTCCTTGGTCTCTTGTGTTCTGGGGGCCTCTGGATGTCTGGAGTCTTGATCTCCTCCATACCTGCTTCATGCCCTGGAGGACGGGGCTGTGGCCCCCCCACACCCTCTAGCAGATCATTACATGAAGGAACCTTTTAAAAACAAGCGCGTCCATGCTCACAAGTGTACACACGGGTGCTCACGCACACAAACTACAAACTACACCCTTTTTGGCTCCTACCTCAAAGCACACTGTGCGCTGTCGATCTTACGTGCTGCACAATAATGTTTAATATTTAGTATTTACTGTTATATTCCCATAGATCATCGTGATGTTCTTTATTATGTTGCTCTTTTTTTCTTCTGCTTGTTTTCTTTTTTCTTTCTCAACAGGTGATCCAGGTGATTGATATATGCATTTTTTGTCTGCTTATTATGTATTTTTTTTTTGTTTTTTGCCCTTTATCACCGTCCCTCTTCCCCACTGTTTTTCTTTCCCTCTTTTTTCTCCCCTTTCTTTTTCCCAGTCAAGTCTGTCCCATAATTAGCAAGTGAAAATAAAATAAAATAAACAATAAAAGATGAATGAAATAGACCATTACAGCAAGGCTGGGATGGTGTATTTGGTAAAGTAAATCCGTTGGGCACCTTTAGACAATAATTCTGATGGCAAAAGAGCCAAACGGGACAGGCAAAAAAAAAAAAAAAAGTATACAGCAGAAAAATAAGTAGTTAAATTAAATTAAGATCATTATCATTAAATCAAGATTAGGGGTGTAAGGACTAGATGTTACAGTCCCTGATAATGCATTGCTTTAGATGGAGAGACTCTTGAGGGATGGCTGTTATGAGGAAAGGCAGCCTCACTTTTGCACATTTAAACTCCTCAACCAGGCTAGGGATAGGCAATGACAGTATCCTGTCGCTGTAGAGTCCAACGCTGCTGAGGCACTTGGGAAGTCAGAGCCACTTCTTAACGTAGGAGCTCACTAGCCTCTCTAGTCAATTGGCATGATTGAGTGAGACCTCGTAGATTGTCAATGGCCACAGTAGTCTGGGTAATAACCCAAACTGGAAGCACCAGAGCTTAAGTTTCTCTGGGAGTGCAGTGTTGTTAATCCACTTGAGGTCATCAGCCAGGTTCTCCCTTAATTGTTCTAGTTGCCACGTATCGTTGAGGTCTGCATTATATTACCGTCACAGGCTCTTTATGGGCTTCTCTAAGACTGTTGGAATTGGTTCTTCACTGATATGGAATTGCTCGGCTGTCGGTTTTCCTTTTATGATGGAGATGCTGCGAGATTTACTCGGCTTAAACTCCATCCTTGCCCATTCTATGTTTTCCTGGAGCTTCTGTAGCAATCGCCTAGCACATAGTTTAGTTGTTGTAATTATGGTCATGTCATCCATGTAGACCCTAATAGGAGGAAGATGGACACTCCTGAGTCTCTCACCTCCCACTACCCACCGGGATGCCCACATGACCAACTCCATTGCCATGATAAATGCCAGAGGGGAAATCGTGCAGCTTGCCATTACACCAATTTCCAGGTGCTGCCAAGCTGTGGTGATGCTCTCAGCTGTCACACAAAACTGTAGATCCTGAAAGTAGGTCTTGACCAGTCCTGTGATGTGGTTTGGTACGCTGAAATAGTTGAAGGCCATCCACAAGATCTCGTGCGGAACTGACCCAAAGGCATTGGCAAGTTCTAAAAACACCACATGAGGGTCTTTCTTGGCAGTTTGAATTTGGTGCCAGACGATGCTGGCATGCTTTAGATATCTTGAGGAGGCCCGGATGTTGGCCTTCTGCACTGATGTGTCAATATAGTTGTTTCTTTGCAGGAAAGCAGATAGCCTTTGGGCCACGGCGCTGAAGAAGATGTTTCCTTCTACGTTCAGCAGACTGATCTGGCAAAACTGGCTAATGGATGAGTTCTTCTCCTTAGGGATAAATACCCATTGATATTGACTCGTTTAATAATAGTCGGCATATGATAAATAACTGTAATTGTACTTTTTGCATTATTATGAAGTTATGATTGCACACTACCTCCAACTCTTTGATATGAAGTATGATTTGTTTGCCAAAAAAGAGAAAAAATTCAATAAAGTTGAAGTTGAATGCTTTTAAAAATTTGAATTGACCTAAAACAATATTTAGGTTTAATCTGCAAAAATAGCAGCCAGATGGATCCCAATCCACCACAGTCAGTGCACCAGAGTAGTATTGAGCTTCTCATATGGGTTTTGGCAAAATATAAAATGTATAACACAAATGAGACATTCATTTTAAATGCATCATGTTAAAAAAAAAGAAGAGATTGTGGTTTGTTTTAATCTGAATTCATGATTGCATGCTGCTATTTACAGTGACTGATCTTGCGAACATGCTTTGGGAGAAATGTTTACACCAATAAATGTTTGGTTTTTTTTCAGATATGCCCACATGATGCTATTTTCCTGCTACAGCATTAAGTTTCATTTCAGCCAAATGATGTAGTTTGACCACGCCCACTGAAGTGACTGGAGCTTCCCCGGTTCTTCAAGGTTCACTCATATTACTTCCCGTGTGAGAGACGAGTGGTGAATTGTTTGCAGCAGGTTTTATATCTGCATGCAAACGTGGAGTTTAGTCTGTTGGAATTACCGAGTTACTAGAAATAAGGTGAGTCAAGTTAAAATGAAATTGAGCTGTTTTTCTTTTGTTTTTGCTTCTACTGTAAATGCATAACTGTAAGTATGTGATCCAAAATTAAAACAAGGAAAGAGATTGATATGATTATGACTCATTGGGTGTGTCAGGGCTCTCACTGGAAACAGCCAAAACACACACTTAGTGCCAAATCTATTTCTATCTATTTAGCTATTTTTTTCCCTTTATATCATATTTCATATGATATAAAAAGCCTGAAAGAACAGAAATGTAAAGCATATCAATGATATTTTCATCTACAGAGATCATGTCAGCTTTTGGTTTCCTCGCTTCATTGCCAGAGGATCATTTCGTCTGTACGATCTGCCTGAACGTCTTCAGTGACCCGGTCACTACACCTTGCGGTCACAACTTTTGCAGGACCTGCCTCACTCAGCACTGGGACAGAAGTGAGTTATGCCACTGTCCAACGTGCAGTAAAAGATTCTATGTGAGGCCCGAGTTCTCCACAAACACCGTCATCGCAGAGATTTCAGGCCAAATCAAGAAGAGGAAGGTGGAGACGCTTGAAGACATGGATGCACCGGGGAAAGTGGCGTGCGACGTGTGCACTGATTTACAGTTCAAAGCCTTGAAGTCTTGCCTGGTGTGTCAGACGTCGTACTGCGAAGCCCATCTGGAGCCTCACCAGAGAGTTCCCTCTTTAATGAGACACAAGCTGATCGAGCCAGTGGAGAATCTGGAGGAGAGGATGTGCAGGAGGCACGAGAGGATAATGGAGTTTTTCTGCAGAGATGATCAGGTGTGCATCTGTCTGCTGTGCAGTGAGACAGACCACAAAGACCATGAGACAGTACCTGTTGAAGAAGAAGGGGCTCAGCAGAGAGTAAGACGATGCTGAATTTTATTTTGTTACATTTTTGTTAAAATGAGAACGCGGATCCTTGAAAATGACCACTTCACCCAATTTAATTGCTTAAAATTGTACATTTCAGGAAAATATTGAGTCTCAAAAAGCAAAGATCAAACTGATGATTGAGGAGAGGATGGAAAAGATAAAGGAATTTAATGAGGGCTCCGAACTGCGGAAGGTGAGTATTGAGGCAAATTTCCAAATGTAAAATTTGTCACATTAAGCTTTACAGTGTTCAGTGCACACCTACATGTTTACCAATGGAGCCCTTTTCTTTCTCCTGCAGGTAAAAGCAGACCAAGAGATTGAGGAGAACAATACACTATTCAGTAATCTGATAAACCAAGTAGAAGAGATGCAGGCTAAACTACGATCAAACATTCAAATCAAGCTCAGAAAGTCACAAGAGAAAGACGAAGCGGTAATTCAGGAGTTGCACGACGAAATCGCAGAACTGCAGAGAAAACACTCAGAGCTGGACGAACTTTCACAAAATGAGGACCACCTGTGGCTCTTACAGGTAAGTTGTACAGACTATGACCTATAAGCATCTTATAATAAAATATATCTCTTTTAAAGCCAGGTGCAACAAATTTCTCCATCTTTTATCCATCGCTTTGTATCTTTTCCTCACTCACCCCTGCCCCAATCCAAAAAAAGATCCAACTGAAAATAGCTGCTACTCACTATCATGTCCTTATGAATCATTTCAGACTTTGAAGGCTCTGAGCAATATTTCCGCCTCCAAGGATTGGTCCAAGATCAAGGTTTACTCAGACTTGTGTGTGCAGACGGCAAGGAGAGCCATGGCTCATCTTGTGCACACTTTCAAAACTGAACTGAAAACTCTCACAAAAGCAGGTAAATATCTGCAGCGTTTGTTTTATGTGTGAGGATTTCTCTAGTTTGGATACTTCTGTTTGTACACGTTAACGTAGCATATTAAAATGATGATCACGGCATTTGACTGATTGTCGTGGAGGCTGCTGTGCACATACAAAAGTCAATTCTTCTGCTGTGAAGCCGACAATTCAGTGTGTGCAAACACGAAACGACACCACAGCACATTTAACGTCAGTGCCTGGAAAAATATGCTGCTCTTGGTCAGTGCCATCTGCATGGACAATATAGCTTCCGCCAGCTGAGTGAAAACTCTTCATAAGAGGAATAAATAATTTCAGGGCAGCAAGAAGGTCTTGTCTTCTAATCCACTGGCTGGTGTCTTTCTGTGTGACGCCTGCATATTCTCACTGTGCCTGTGCCGGTTTACTCTGTGTAGTCCAGCTTCCTCCCACAGCATTAGGGTTAACTGGTAATTGGCTGTAGGTGTGAATGAACAATTGTATAGGTCGTGCTCCAGCCCCATTACAGCTCAGATTGACTCAAGTACCCTGAACTGGATAAATGGCAGGAAATGAATAGATGCGTGGGATTATTTAGAAGAAATGACATGAAACTAAACAGCCAAAGCAGAAGTTCCTTTTTTTTTTTAAATGGCCAGCAGAGGGCGAATTTGTCTGGTTACAAAAAGTTCACTTGACATTTATGGAAACATGACCTCGTACAAGATGAATGACCTTTGTAAAGCTTTTCCTAAAGACTTTTATAGTCTTAGTCTCTACATTTACATTTTATTAAATACATAAATTTTAAAGAGGTGATCTTTTTGACTGACAGGAAGTTACTCTGTCCGTTGACTTCTCAGTTAGATCCAACCTTCAACTGTGACAACCTCTTTCAAAACAGCAAGACGGCAATGGTCAAAACGCTCAAGTCAGCAAATGTGATGAAATTGCCAGATTACATTTACATAGTTATGAGTACTCCACATCTTTATGTTTAGGCAAGTGAAACAGCTATTCGCTAACTGTGGGATAAATAAAGAAGAGTTTATCTCATTTAATCCCAGTATTACCTGTGTTGCATCTGATATCTCTGTGTTGGTTTTGTTCTTGGATCATTAAAACTAATGTTGGTCCAGATTCAATGCTCCAAGTGACCAATCACATTGCTGGGATATCACAGTAAGGTTAGGGTGACAGGGGTTACGGTTAGGGTTAGAGTCTGGTGTTTAGTGTGATGGTGTTTCTACAATGCAAAACTCTGTAGTTTTAATCCAGGAACAACACTAACACGGCGATATCTGCTCATGCTACCGCACGTAGTTGTAGTTGTTATCCTGCGTTCACACTAGCATGTCATTGATTTGTCACAAGTTACACCACCCATAGAATTGTCTGTATATTCATATTCTTGGCTGCCATTGAAGAAGAGTTTTCTTTTAATTTGTTGATGCAAATCTCACAGTACAAGTATGTGATTTGAAACACCACACGTGTTTTACACTTAAGGTTTGCCTCACTGTGATGTTTTTTCCTCTCAGAACTGACCAGGATGAGGCAATATAAAGGTGAGTTCATAGATTTATATTTAGTTTACTTTCCAAGATATAAAAGCTCAACATAACTATTAATATATATATGTAACTGACCATATGTCTTTTTTACTTTAAGAATCAGTCGCCTTTAACCCTTCCACTGCCGGCGAGGGCCTTGTGGTGACTGAATCTGGGAAACGTCTGAAGTACTTCAGAGCAGCAAGCCCCTCGTCTGATGAGTTTGGGAGGTTTGACTGTCCCATGGTGTTTGGGACGAAGGGCTTCACCTCTGGCCGACACTACTGGGAAGTCCAAGTGGCCCTGAGAAACAACTGGGATGTGGGTGTTGCCAAGGAAAGTGTAAACAGATCAGGAAGGGTTTTTTTGAAAAGAGAAAATGGATTCTTTGCCATAGGAAAAAGGTTTTTGGACTATAAAGTTCACTCAGCACCCTCCACAGTTCTCTACCTTTTCCCTAGGCCAAGGTTAATAGGAGTGTACCTGGACTATGAAGAAGGCAGAGTCTCATTTTTTGACGTGAACGAGAACTTGCATATTTACTCTTTCACAGGAGAGTCTTTCACAGAGAAACTATTTCCATACTTTTATCTACACAGTAGGGCAAAGAAATCTGAGCCTTTGCTTATTAAGGATTGTCTTTATTTCTAATTCACTTCCTTCAACAATCAAAATGATAAATGAATAATAAGATCAAAGTTTAGAACTCAGAGTGCTGCGCAATCTGAACATCAATAAAACGTATTCGGAAATGACCAATTTAAGGTTAATAATTAACATCGACTGTTGTTCCTGTTGCCTTCTTTTACATTGTGATAAACTATGACACAGATAAAAATACCACATACAAATTGTTCAGAATTCCAGACTATGAACCATGCAAATGATGTTTTAAATATGCGCTTGTAGAGTGCGTGCACAGTATATAACAAACTGATCAGTATTATGTAGTGTTAGTTCCATCCTCTGTCTGTTTCAGAGCTTTCATTTAAGGAAACTTGAAAGACTTGAATCAATTTTTTGTTATTATGCATCCTGTTTATTTAGCTTTACTCGAGTGGGGTCAAAATCTTTGACGTAGGATCTCCGGAGTACAGCACCATGTATGGTAGTCACCACAGCTGCTTCTGTAAAAACAGGAACTTTATGGTGCATTAAGTTAACCTCGTAAACTCATGGGAATGGCTAGGAGGTTTGTTTAATAGAGAAAGGTCTTGTCTTTTCTTTTTTTAGATATTTACTTTAAATGTTCTTTTTCTGAAGTTTTTTTCAATGTATAGATGTAATAACAAATTCTAACCAGTCTCAGTCTTTAACATACCAAGCAACTTTGGCATAATCTTATATAAGTAAGGAGAAAACAGTGATAAATAGCTATAACCCATTTTAAAATGAAGGCAAACAACTTAAAATATAAAGATATTATTATTTGCAGTACCTTACAAATTATTAAGTAACTCAGGCAGGAAAGAAACACGTTTATTTAACTCTGATATGTTTAATTATTTGGGGCTTTTTTTGCCAGGGTTTGAGCTTTATTAACAGGGCCCGAGTTTATGGGTGTATGCTGTCCAGAAGGGCCAGCCCCTTTCCTAGCAGTGGTGGGTGTGTCTATCTCTATGTCAGGAGAACCAAGTGAGCAGAGTGTAGCTCATTGCTGTTAGTGCCTGAGGATACACAAGCTGGCAGTTAGAAAATAATTGTAAGTATGTTTTATGAATTATTTCTTTTCTTTCTGGTATTTTGAAGACAGCTTTTGACCATTACATGAGATTTCTGTGGAGGTACACAGCTGAGTTGAACTTGTTTACATTGTTCATAGTTCGTGTGAGCGGTGAATGAGTCATTTTCATGTTATGCGTATTACTCTCGGGCTCAGGAGTGAAAAGCCACAATCTAAAATAAGTTTAGTTTGATGGCTGTGTCATTGTGACAAATGTAGCCATTAATGCTGTTACGTTCATAGAGAATACTCAGTGCTGAGTGGCTGGAGGATACGCAAAACTTCAAGATTCCTGCATGGCTCTGATGTAGTACAGATGTTTTGTGACGTACACTCAGAATTCTTTCACTCTCAGTATCAATGAGCAGGAACCTTTTCCCCCTCTAGTGCAGATATGCTCGTATGAAAGCAGGAAAATCCAGTTTTGCATGAATTTTTGAACAAACTGTTACGGTGGCATGCCACTTCAGAACAAATATGGCATTGCACACAAGTCTGATCAACAGTTTGATTGACTGGACATACCTTTGCTCTTGAGCCCATAAACTTATTCATTACCTCATATGGTTACATGTGAGTAATATTCTTACTGCTCTCTTGAACTGCCTTATATACATATTTGGTTTTTCTTTTCCACATTGCTGTTTGTTGTATCAGTGACAAAATGCTGGTAATGGTAATGTTTGTTTTTGTCTTTATATTAAAGTTATCAGACTTTGTTTCATGAACAGTGTTTCATTATAACATTTCAGATCGATTTTTGTGGGATATTTGACTGACCTCCAACTGAAGTCGTTTATTTAATACTGTGCAAATGTTTTGTGCCAACAAACCTTTTTTAAATATGTTACTTCCAAAGAGCCAGCCTTACTTCAGAGTGATTTTGAGCAATAGTTGTCTAAAGATCTTTTAGGTTTTTATTTGGACACTGGCTGCTTTTCACTCATGTTCAGTCCAGTCTTCATACCTGACTATTTTTACAGGAAGTAGTCGTTTTGTCAAGCCACTTAACAGACCTATCATTTATTCAATCAGAAACGTAACTCAAGGAATGAACCAGTCTTGTGTCTACACATAACATCTTTGTAAAGATCTCATTTTAAATCATATCTTTGGGCACTTTGTTACTGTCGCCCTGTCACTAAACAAATCTCTTAAAAATGCCAAAGATAAAGCAATATGGTAATCACATTATTGGTGCAAAAATCTAATTTTACAGCGGTCAAAACTTGGCATATTTTGGCATGGTGTGCAAAAAAACTATCTCCAGCAGATGAACAGTATCTAGAACTCCTTTAGAAATAGGAAAAGAAATCCAGAAAATACCTGACGCAGGACCTGAGAGAAGCATCTGGCCCTTTAGTTGATACATCTCTTGTTCACTGAAGCCTCAACAGAAATGATCTCATTGGAAGGGCAGCTGTGAAGAAGGCTGAGGTATACCAAATTAAGTGAGATTTGGCAACAGAAAAGCAGGACTGATGGAGCGATGAATCCAAAACTTTCGGTTCAAATCATTGTCAGTTTTCAGGGAGAAGGCCGAGAGAGAGGTACAACAGCGAGAGTCTGAAGACATCTCTAAAACAAGGTGGTGGCTCTGTCATGGTTTAGTGCTGCATTTTAGCCAGTGGTGTTGGAGATCTTGTGAACATTGATGGAATCATGGATGAAGAAAGGTACCATTTTGATCCACCCAAACCTCTGGCCTCTGCTCCGTGGTTGCTAGGTGACCCCTCGTCTGGGGCTCTCCTCAGCTCTTCCCAGCAGGGTGTCACGGTTGCCCCTCCGATGGTCCTTCTTAGACTCTCGCACTCTGGGGGCCACTGGATGTTTGGGGCCTGGATCTCCTCCATGCCTGGTTAATGCCCTGTGGGACGGGGCTATGGCTCCACCCCCTAGCAGATCGTTACATGAATAAACCTTTTGAATACAAGAATGCTCATCCACACAGGTGTACACATGGGTGTTCACTGTTCACAGACACAAACTACCCCTTTCTTGGCTTCTACCTCAAAGCACATTGTGCGCTGTCAATCTTGCGTGCTACACAATAACATTTAATACTTGGTATCTAGTGTTATTTACACTTAGCTAGATTAATGCGATGGTGTTGCGTTTATTATATTGCTCTCTTTTTCACCTTGTTTTCCCTTTTTTTTTTCTTGGGCGTCTTTCTTGGCCTTCTGACAGTATTTCTGATGGGTAAAGAACCAAACGGAAGAGGCAAAACAAAAAAAACAAAAAAATCTTTTTGCCTTACATGAATGCTTGCACACGTTTCAGCAAACTGTTGCATCCAAAGAAATTAGGAATGGCTTAAGATATTTGCACTGCACTACATGTTACTTTTTATTAATGTGTTTACTAAAGTTGGGCAGCACCTGTGGAGCAGTGATGATCTCTGTTGCCTCAAAGCAAGAAGGTCCAGAGTTAGACTGCAATGTGTCTGTGGGTTCAAAACCATGCGGTTAGTGGGGTTAGGTTAACTGGTGATTCTAAATGGCCTATAAGTGTTTATGGTTACCTGTTTCTGTGTGTAAGCTCAGCGTCAGATTGGCAACTGTCCAGGGTGTACCCTGCCTCTCACCCTCTGGTAGCTGGGATAGGCTCCAGACAAAGGTATGGATAAGTTGAAGAGAATGGATGTTTGCTAAAGCCAACCAGTTTTCTGTATTGTACTTAAGTAGAGAAGCCTGTAAAAACATTCTTCTATTCATGTGATCTTAACATTAATCCTCCCAGTAAGGAAACACAAAGCAGTTTATACAAAGATGGAGTAAGTGTTATTCAAATGCCAGCTACTGTTTGATCCTGCCAAGTGATACGAAACATGAGGAGAAAAAGTGTTTGTTTGGCATCTGTTGCCATATTTAGCTATTAAAGTAATTCTAATGAATAACCAAAGCAATAAAGACTGAAGCCTGGTGAACTGTGCATTTCCATATAGTCAGTGATACACCAGTCCATTGATGGGCATCGATGGCTCAAGCAATCAGTATGGTTATGTCCATCCATCCATTCTCCTTCAGTTATTGTTATCAGGGTTGCAGGGCCAAAGTCAGTCACAAACAGGTATATGTATTATGGTATTTTGCACAAAAAGTGGACAGTCTTCGTAATGACAGTAGCTCTGGACAGCTTTAAACCAGAAGCTGTTTTCTGTGCAGTGTGTAATTGTGTAGTTTCCTTCTGATATGTCAAGCTTTGTGAAGAACGATGTTGAATGTGTGCTAATAAAACCTCTCTTTTCTTGTCAGACGTACTGCTTCAAACAAATCATCACCTGTGCAAAAAGCAAACTGAAACAGGCCGCAGGTTGCTTGTATTTGCACAGGCATATTAAGACGCGATGTCAGACCCTCCTAATTGCTGCATCTGTCTGGATGAGTTCGCAAGCCCCGTGTCCATCCCCTGTGGACACGTCTTCTGCTTGGGATGCATTGGAGAATACTGGAAAATCAACGAGGCCTGCCAGTGCCCCCTTTGCAAGACTTTGTTTCCTACCAGGCCACAGCTCAAGACAGACCAGACACTACATACTGTGAAAGCACCTCGACCTTTAAAAGCTGGAGAGGTTCCCTGTGACTCCTGCTCAGCAAAACGTCCTGCAGTCAAATCCTGCCTGATGTGCATGGCTTCCTACTGCACCACTCATCTGGAAGCACATTACCAGACTGAAGAGCTTAGGCGCCATCTACTGGTCAGTGTGGTAAAAAACCTCGAGGATTCTGTGTGCAAACTGCATGGGAAGAAGTTGGAGAAGTTCTGCAGGAGTGACCGGGCGTGCATTTGTGCTATGTGTGCACAGACAGAGCATTGGAGCCACAACATCATTTCTATTAGCCGGGAGGCCTTTAAGAAGAAGGTAAAGAAATTTCTGCTAAAGCTTTTTTAGAAAAAGTATTTACAAATAATTTTTGTTGGCAATAATGTAATAAGTATTCTCTAATTTCAGCTTAAAAAAAGACTAAAAAACTTGCCACTCAGTTGGATTCACATGCTATCCCATAATAATCTCAGACAATTAGTGTTAAAGCTGTTTTGTAAGTTATATTTGTTAACAAATTAAACAACAAAAGTAAGAATTAGCTTACATCTTGGCAGCCATTTCTTGCCTTTTCATTCCCTTTTTGATTACTTTTGTAAATTTGGATGGGGGTCAAAAAATTGACTCTTTTTGTAATCAAAAAGTGAACTGAAGCTCTTGATGGAGTTTTGTTTTGTGTCATCCATCAAAGCAAAAGAAACTGTCATCACGGGGTGCACAGGATTGCAACATACTTCAGAAGAAGCTCAGGAGACCATACGACGACTTGATTTAACAAAACATGGTACAAGTGTGCCTGCAGTTTGTCAGCTTAGCTGTGCTAATGCAGTGTCTCCCCACAGGTTATTGTAAAACGAAGGAGGATGAAACTTCAGCAAGAGGTTCAAGATAGAGTGAGTGAAGCTGAGAAAATCAAACTCACTGTAGATCTCAGTGGACAAAGTCCAAAAGAGGAATGGCAAACAAATAAAGAGCTCGAACAGCTGGAAGATGAAATCGTTGAGCTCCAGAGGAGAAATGCTGAGCTAGAACAGCTCTTGAAGATTGAAGATGATCTCTTATTCTTACAGGTTTGCTTCCTGGTAAACTTAACACCAACTGCAGCATTAAACACATGCACACAAAACACAACACTAATTTCAGTGTTGTGTCTCTCTTGTCTCTGCAGAGATCTCTCCATGGTGCTTTGTGATTCAAGAAACATGCTGATCATCAAATCTTTATTCATGTGTTTGTTTGTTTTTTTAGCTATAAAATGATTATGTAATCTCAGCTGGGTGGGTGTGTTAGCTTTCAAGGAAAAGTATGCTCTGATTCATGAGAAAGAGATGAGAAGTGTCACTCAATTATTTTTGCATTTAATGTAAGGATACAACCAGCTGACTTTTAGCCTACAGTGAAACACAAACTTGAACTATTTATACTTTTGAACCTCAATAATACTTTTAAAAAGGAAAAGCTAGCTAATTCCCAGGATTTCCAATGCCAAGCTAAGCTAAACTGTTGCTAAGCTAAACTAAGCTAAGCTGCCGGTGGCTGTGGTCATACATTTAATGTAAATGGTATTGATCTCATGTATCACTCTGCCAGAAATCCAATGTATGCACTGAATTTTATATTTTATATTTTTATATTTAAAAAATGAATCGTTTATACGGGTTTAAAGAAACTGTGAAGTTTAGAAACCTCAGGGACGTTGAACTTGGTTGTATGAATGTAACTTATTACTGGGTGGGTGATGCAATTAACTGCTATTCAGTGCCAAAAATGCTTTTGTCTTCCTTTTTGATTAACCAATAAAATGTATGTAAAATAAAACTTATGATGAGCAATAGGCAGTATTTCGACCGAAGTCCTGTGCAATAAAAAGGTCTTGTGAAATTGGATACTTGATCTGTATGAACATGCTGAGCACACACAACACGCCCTGCTGCAGGCACACAGATGATTTGTTTATGCGTTTGCATGCCAACTCGTCTCTGGAGTAAAAAATGTGAACGGTTGGGAGTATGAACAGAAATGAAACTTAAACTCTAGGAGGAAGTCCAAAAGGAAGGACACACACTCATACACACACCGGGAGTAAAGGGAAACGGAGACAGATGCCTTTGAGATCTCATTAGCTGAAAGGTAATACTGTACTTTTTGCATAAACTTCATATAAAAAGACTGATGTTAAATGACAGATATTACATGTAATATACAGTTAGCTTACAGCAATAGATCTAAATCAAATGTGTGTGATCAACTGTACTGTAATAGAAAATACAGTGTGTACCGGTACTTTATATTTGGTGTCGAGTTTCCTCCTCCAATCTTCAACACTCCCATTTGTGAGGCTTATTTACAGGGTGTGTCACTAGTATTCAGTGGTTTTTACTTCTTACTTTTAAGAGGGGCCAGTAGAAAGTTTCAGAGAATAAATCGTCATTGTATCCAACTTATTGCACACAAATTACAGTGTATGCAATTCTATTTAGTTTGCTGACTTTATTAACTATAAAGTGAATACTTTGACCTGCACACATGTTAAATATTAGCAAATAACTTCTGTTGAATTTAAGTAAGTCCTGGTAAATAATATTAATCATAATACTTTAACTAAATGATATTACAAAGTGGAATTAATAAGCAATAAACTCAATCTTGTTCAGTTAGGCATACTTCCTTTTTTTTTTTGTTTTTTTTGTTAGGCGTACTTCCACTAGAAGTAACTAGAAGTGGATTTGTAAACTGATTCTGAAGCCTTTGTTTCAGCTCACCTTCTTCTGCGTAAGAGACCGTATTTACACGTTTAGAGATTAGAGCGCTAAATCATCAGATAATGCTAGCAAGCTTGGTAATCCATGTGACTCACATGGACACAGAAAGTAGTGCTAATTAACATGACATGGCAGAATTTCATACATCAAATCGTGACCACAAACTCTTTGAATGGTTAGTACAATTAATTCTGGGAGCTGGGAGGTCCAGCTCAGTTAGCTCAGTTTGTTTAGGTGACGACTATACATCATGTGGCTTAGTTGGAAATAGACACCCCCCGAGCAATGCATAGCTTTAAGCCTCAAGTAATTTAAGAAAGTGTCATATCAACCAAGTGCTTTAAAGCTGCAAGGAAGGTTTACCTAAGCCGCATACACCAAAATTTAGTTTTTGCTTCAAAGCTGAGCAATTTTACATAGAAGTGTACGGGGATTTGTGTGTGGAGCTGGTACATATTGTCCACTATCGTTATTATTTCTTTAATAAAGGACATTATGAAGTCGATGACCCCTTACAAGGTTACAGTTTCCATTTTGTTAGGAACAACTCACGAAACGCATATTCTAACATTTGAATCCAAAACAAGAATTTCAAGGAAAATTTATTTGACAAAATAAAAGTCACTGTTACTTTTCTTAGTGAATAACCTTGTGGTCCTCTCTTGAAGCAGATATGGTCCCAACTTCAGCATCACCCAGTGAGCCCGGCTCGCTGGGGAAGCATCTCCACTGCTCCATCTGCATGGACACATTTACGGATCCTGTCACTACAGCTTGTGGTCACTCATTCTGCAAGCTGTGTCTCGACCGAAGCATTCATCTCAATGACAGTGTGTGCCCACTATGCAAGAATTATATAAGCAGGATCCCTGATGTTAACATAGTCCTGAGAGACATTGTAAAACAAATGAAAGAGAAATACACTGGAGCTGCAGGGGAGGTGGCCTGTGATGTTTGCAGTGACAAAAAGCTGAAGGCCAAGAAGTCCTGCCTTGTGTGTCTTGCATCGTATTGTTCAGTTCACCTGGACAATCATTTGTCAACAGAAAGGTTGAAGGGCCACAAGTTGGTGGAGCCGGTGGAGAATTTGGATGCGAGGGCCTGCTTGAAGCATGGACGCCCCTTGGAGCTGTACAGCAGGGAGCGGCAGGCATGCATTTGTGTTCTCTGCATGGAAGGTCAGGAGGAGGTTGTCTCAACTGAAGATGAATGGAAGAAGAAAAGGGTAAGTTACCATAACAACCTCTGAATATGTGTTTTGAGTCTTGACAGCATTGTATATATTTTACTTACTATACTGACTATATTGTGGCATGTGAAAGAATTTTCAAGTGCACAAAAAATGAGTACACGTGGAAAAAATAAATTTTTAAAGTATTATTTTATGTTTCTCCTACAGTCTGAACTTGACAACACCAAGACAGAGTTAAATGAGAACATTGACAAGAGAAAAACAAAGACTGCTGAGATTGAGGAAGCTTTCAAGAGCTGCAAGGTAAGCAGCAAGTAAACTGACTTGGAGAGAAAAGCCAATCAAACAACAAACCTTTATTTGTCACATACATAATTATACACAGTACAACATGTAGTGAAATTCTTGAGTCCGAGCTGCGGACAGGCTGCAGACATAGCTGTGCCATTCCAGGGCTTGGTTTTAGCATGGGGGGTCTAGGCAGGACCCTTACTGGATACCATGTGGGAATCAAACTTGTGACACTCACTCCGAATGTGTGTAGTCTTACCACTACACTATCCAGCTGCTATCAGACGAGTCAAAGTGAAAATCTACCATGTCAGTTTGTTTTTTCAAAGATAAAAATTGTGTTTATGGTAACTGACTGAATGCTGAACCTTTCTCAGAATTACCTTCCCTAACTAAACCAGTCAAAAAGTTGTGTGGGACTCTATGTAATACAGAAAAAAGAGGTGAACAGTCAAATAGACATTCCTGTTTCATTCCCATTTTCAGGACCAGCTGGAAAATGAGTGGTGCGATATTGACAATGTGTTTACCGCTGTGATGGACATTGTGGAAGAAGCCCGTGCCAGAGCCCATAAGCCAATAGATAACAGGAGGCAGGTGTTGGAAAACAAAGCAAATGGCCTTAAACATGAGTTGGAAGCAGAGATCAAGAAACTTGGAAAGGCCATCTCTGAACTAGATGACATTTCTGTTCTCGAGGACCACATCCTTTTCCTGCAGGTAGAGAAAACTTTGGGATGATATATGTGGCACATTCATAATCAGTCTGAAGGATAAACATATCTGATTAGCTACTGACATTTTGTTCAGCACTGCTATCAAACTGTTGGGTTGTATTTCTGTTTTGCAGAAGTACCCATCTCTTACAGACACTGGAGACATCATAGACTGGGATGAGGTAAAGCTGGACACATCGCTGTCCTTTGGCACCATCAGGAAAATCACAACAAAAATGCTGGAAAAAATTCAGCAAGAAATGGATAAACTAACTCTCATTGGTAAGAGCAGCTAGTTAAGAGCAGTGAAAACTAAAAGTGAAAATGTTGACTTAATCAATCTAAAACTCTTCTTCTCATCACAGAACTGAAGAGAATCCCAAAGTTTTCAGGTATGTGATTCATATTATTTGCTCTCTTAGAAACTGTGACTTGTTTAAAATAAAGACTTTCTTTTACCGTACATGTTTTTAATTTTACAGTGGATGTAAAACTGGATCCAGATTCTGCACACCAACGCCTCGTGTTGTCTGAAGATAGGAAGGAAGTGAAAGATGGAGGAGAGAATCAGGAACTACCTCGTTTCTCTGAAAGATTTGATATTTTTGGCAGCGTTGTGGGGCAAAATACCTTATTCTCTGGGAAGTCTTACTGGGAGGTGGAGGTCAACAACAAGACGGGGTGGGATATAGGCCTAGTAAGAGGCGATGCAAACCGCAAAGGGAAGCTCAAACTCAGCCCAGATAATGGGTACTGGGTTATTGTACATTATGAAGAAGAAAAGTATGCAGCCCTCACAGCACCGCCAGTTCGTATTCACCTAAAAGAGAAACCTGAGAAGGTGGGAGTGTTTGTGGACTACGAGGAAGATCTCGTCTCCTTCTACGATGTGAAGGCTAAGTCCCACATCTACTCGTTCACTGAGTGTTCATTCAGAGCTGAGCTTTACCCATATTTCAGCCCACACGTGAAACAAGAAGAGAAAAACTCTGAGCCTTTGATTATTTGTAGAGAGATACCAATGGAGTCTTAAGAAATGCATTTTAACTACAATATACTAAAGTTTGTTGGTCCACAACCTTCCTGCTTTTCTTTTTTCCAATACAGGAAAATGGGAACTATCAGGCATTTCATTTACCTTAGACTTTTTTTTTTCATATATATCTTTACGTTTAGCAGCTACTAACAGACCAATGATAGTAAAGCAAATACTGACCGTTTATCTTTTCTCCGTTATTTGCTTTATTACTCAAAAGCCTTTAAAGCAGTCTTTGTAACCTCTGGTTTGGTCCAATTTACTAATTGAGATAATCAGAATCATAACACAAAACAATGCTGCTACAGTGTGCTGACACTGCTATTCAACATGTGAACCAGTCAAGACTTACAACCTGAGCCAGAACACAAACTCTTGACCTAACTGTAATTTAGACGAAGCTTAAAATACTGTGGTTAGTAAGAAGAGTGTGTGTGATTTTCTTTTTACACCATGTTGGAGGACCAAATGGATCCTAGAACTTTGTGAATCAGACACTATTAAAAACTACACGTACTCGCACTCAACATTGTGACAGTTGCTTAGTAGTTACTTCTGTATTGTTTTTTACGAAAGGTTATTCGATAACATATCCAAAGATGAAACAATTAAATTGCTTACACAATTTAATCCAGAAAGTTATTTTTTCTTAGAACAATCCTGAACATTTAATAGATTTGTTTATAAACAGATAGCTGATCAGTTGAAAATGAAGTTAGCAGATTAACTTATAATGATTTGTTGCAGTCTTGAACACAACCTACCTCTAGCTTGATCAGCTGCAACAGCAACAACAGTCTGTGTTTAAGTGAATGTATGGGCAATAAAGATCAGCAATAAAATATTGTGTTATAAGGGGCTTTCAAAACATATACTTTAATTATATTCCCAGTTTTTCAGTTATGAATCCCACTTAATTATTTTGGGGTGTTTTGTGGCTGTTCTTTAGCACAGACTTGTATTGTGTTTAATTTTATTTTGAAGTTTTTCACATTGCAAACTAGTCTGTATTTTTTTATGGCAAAGCGGTGACTGAGGTCAGTCTGGAACTTGAGATAATTAAAGCAGAGCACAGACAGTTCTTGTAACTGAGTCAAGGTCCATGATTAGCTGTGTCACCACTGTCCCATAAAAAGTACACACAAATATCAAATGTACACTTTTACAGTTTCAAGGTTTCCTAAACCCACCACAGCCTCAGTGTACAGAACAATGCATCATCTGAAAACAACATAAAAATGCGAACTGCTTTCCTTTCCTTATTTTGCCTTGCTTCCAGAAAAGTAGTCAGATTTCAGGATAAATGAATGACATTCAGTGTTGTCAGGCAATGTCAAACAGCATGTAATGAATAAAATCCCTGTTTGAAAATATAACTTTTTCTCTCCTTTTTTATTCATCATGTGACCATGTTTGTGTGTCGTGAAAATATGCAGTTGAATCATGTCTGGGCAAATCTATCAGGGGCGGTTGGCGGGTTTTTTTCCTCCTTCTTTTTTTTTCTTTTTTCCGGAAACGAAAGTAAAAGCACAAAACAAAGCATACCAAACATCATGTCAGCACAGAGGTAACGGTAGACAAAGGAAGAGAAGAGTGCACAGTAGAGGCACCACATGCATCCATCGCCCTGATTCTATTGTAAGTAACACAGAGAGCAGATTTATCCAGCTGATCTTTGCTATTGTTTGTTACGATAGAAAACGGAGGGCAGCAAAATAATGAGGAGCCTGTACGTCATCAAGTCACAGCTTATTTCGGTGTGATGCTACAAATGGATATCTAACGCACTCCAGGAATTGTAATCAATTTTAAAAAAAGTAGAATTGACTACTTTATTGTTATTATTATTATTATTTAGTTTGTTTAAACTATGATAGAAGTAGGTGATGGAGAAGACACACGTAGAGGTTTAGCTGTAGTCACGTCAAAATTGAAAAGGGAAGTAATGAAACTGATGTTTTACGGTGCTTTCCTGTTGTCTATCATCAGACAGTTACCTGGAAGACGACCCAGTGGCTGCCTTTTGATGCCAGCCTGCTGCTTTTAATGCAGTAGGTCTGCAACCAACACAAGCCAGTTAGGTAAATAATATTAGCAATTAAAAATTTAGTTTTCTAATATTAGGGAAGTGACGACTTAGAGTAGAAAAGATGGACCCACAGCAGCAGCTGTGAATAAGGGGAAGTGTGTCACTTTCGCTACCTGAGCCGCTGCAGCTGTTGTAGCTTGGATGTTTTTAAACGTTTATATGATGATCCAGATGTTAATGCACATTTTGAAAAGAAAAAAAAAAATCATAGTTTTTGTGCGTACAACACAAGAAAATGGTAAAAGATAACTGTTCTCACATTTGAGGTAAAATGAACACTGTAATAACAATCACAGAAAGTTTACGTTCTTGATAGTGTTTCGTGAATCACTCGGTGCAGTCAGCACAGTTATTTTGAGAGCAAAAAAGGAAGTCACACAGCATCCTCTGTGTGTCTTTTGTTGTGTGTGTAATGCAGACACGCAGCAAAAATGGAGCTCCAGGTTTGTCACTCCTGCGGATGGTCCAAAGTGACAACTTACCAGGGCCTGAGAATTCACCAGGGGAAGATGGGATGCACCCCGAAGGGTGTGAGGGTTTCAGACCCTCCACAGCATTACACACAGAGCTATGTGGGACACACAAAAACTCAAATGGACCTCAGGCTAGATGTCTGCACCTCTTTCAAGATTGGTAGGTTTGTTTGTATCATATTATGTAACATATTGTGTAACATATTGTGTAACATATTGTTTGTAACATATTATGTTGTGTGAATTCAAGATTATAACTTTTCTTTCAAACTGATAAAAACACCCCAATAGGAAAAGACCTGATCCAACATGTTCTCACTCCCAAAGTGTAACATTTTACGCTAGGTGACAAATCATCAGTGTATTACGCTTCCGGGCACCCAACACATCCCTATATCATGAGAAAAATGAGGAAACATGAGAACTGTTTGGAATGAATCTACACATGTACCTTTATTTTACTATCTAACACTATCTAACATCAGTAAAGTTGTGGTTAGGGTTAGGGCTGGAATACATGGTTCAAACGTCTATTACTGAGGGAGCGTCATTCTCCTGGATTTCCTCCATAACCTGGCACCTACCATAAAAACACGGAAGGTCACCTTTCGTTTTCCTCAGGAATGCCGTGGGACGTATATTATGCCTCAGGTATCAGCAGATTAAAGCAAACCAAACCGGAATTTGTTAAAAAAAATCATTTTCATTGCTATAAATTTCTATTTTTGCTTAAGACTATTTAAAATCTTCATTTGACTCTTGAATTATGTGACAAACAGAAACAACAGAATATTCAAACCTGAGCCTCCAGGTTTGTCACTGCGGATGGAATAAAGTTACAACTTACCAGGGATTAAGAATTCACCAGGGGAAGATGGGATGCACACCAAAGGGAGTGAGGATCCCCCAAAAGGAGCAGTACAAATGCAAAAATCAGTGGGAGGAGGACACGGAATACTGGAAACCAGCTAAGAAGGCGACTGTAAAGGAAGAGGTATGAGTTTGCTTTTTAGGCCAATAAATGAGTGACAGGAAGCACTTTAAGCTTTGTCCACCACCACCACCTTTTCTTTTTTTCAGAATGAAAAATAACAAAAAAATAATTTATAAAAGTAAAGGATGACTTAATGACTTTAGTTGCTTGATGTTTCGTTAAATCACGTGGTGAAGAGACGACCCCGACATTTTGATAATCAAGGTCACCGAAAGTGTAGTAACTTGCAGATCCCCCTAAATGCTCCTAGCTGGCTGTGTTACTTTTGATCACTGTACAAAAACTTCCATGTTAGTGTTTTCATTACATATCAACTTTTTCTCAACTTTATCCGTCAACCTGACAGAATTTTCCAGAGTCACCAAGCGTGTACGGCTATGCCAACTCTGGAGCAACGGCCATATTCAAGGAAGAATACAAACTGAGTATGTACGCAGTTAGAATTTAGTAAAAACATGATTCTCATACAACAAAATGTGGAGGCTAACATGGAGCTGTGTTCTTACTTACAGCAGCTTCTGCATATACACAGCACTACTCCCAAAGAGCCAGAAAGTCGCAGCATCAGCTGCAGGAACACTCCACCCTTCCACAGGTACTACAGTTATCGTTAATAATAATAGTTAGAGTTAATAGTCGGCCAATTTTAAAGTGAGTAAACAGTAACATATAAATGTAATCAATACTTTTTAGGTGAGCAGGCCTGCCAGGGAGCCTTCAGCACTACCATACCCAGGAAATGTAGTCAGGCCTAAGGAGAAAAAAGTAAAGCAGAAAACATTATCACAGGTACCTTTTTGTTTTTACAAGTTAAGATATTTTTCTTTTAAACTTTAAAAGAAAGTTTAAACGAAGAACTGTTTTCTATCTTTTAGATAGAAAACAGCAGCACGATGGTAGAATACCTGAGTGTTGACCTCTGTAGAGACTATGCAACAACAGCAACCAAAATCAAGCAGGAGCCCAAATCACGTAAGTACAAACAAAGAATTAAGTGTTACAGTTTATTCAAGACAAGCTTTGTTCAAATCATTAGGAATAGATTAAAAAAGTGTGATAAAAAATCATCTGCTCTTAATTACAGCACTTCACACAACTCCACAGCCATCTTTCCAAAGAGCCAGCCGTCGCCTGCTGCAGGAGTTCCCCCCTGGTTTAGAGGTACTGTGGTTTTTTGCTAAATAATGCTTAAGCATGTGACAAACCACCAAAGTTTACTGCTGACGCTTTTTTTAAAGTGCAATATCACTGGAATTAAAGTGTTTTCTGTATGTCAGGTACAAAGATCCTTGCCTCCAACTCCTCCACCACGGGAACAAACAGTGCTGCCTATGAAAAAAGACAGCAGGGAGCAAACACAGGTACAAAACAGATTGTTTGAAGTGTAGCTTTTGTGTTTTAGTTATCCTTGACTTCTTTAAACAACCACATAATCAGTCCCAGCTACGGTAAAACACCGGGAAAAGCAGGTAATACAGTTTAAGATTTAGCATTGCCTTTTTTTAAATTGTATTTTGCTATTTAGATTCAGGATGGAAATATCTGCTCAAATAACTTTAAAGTGATTAAATATGTCAGTGGAATCAATATTTTTCAGATAAACAGACCTGCCAGGCAGCCTTCAGCACCATCATACCCAGGAAACATAGTCAGGCCTAAGAAGAAAAAAGTGAAGCAGCAAACATTTTCACAGGTACCTCACTGTTTTAGATTTTAAGGTTATTGTATTTTGTTTTTTCCAGTTTAAGTAACTTTTTGTCTCTCTTAGACAGAAGACAGTAGAGAAGTGGCAGGATATCTGAGCATTGACTGCTGTGCAGACTATCCAACAACAACAACCAAAATCAAGGAGGAGCCCAAGTCACGTATGTATAAACAAAGAAATTAACAAAATGTATACAAAAGAAGATGTTTTTTAACCTGTCTGAAAAAACCCTCCTTTTTATTATAGCACTAGCAACCCCACAACCATCTTTCCAAAGAGCCACCAGCGGTCAGCAGCAGGAGGTAGAGTACTGTGATTTTCTCTAAGTGTTCCAGCTTGTGCGCTAAAACAGCAGAGTTTGGTATCACGTAGCGCTGTGGTTTGAAAAAGAGGAAGAAGCTGTGTTTTCTTTTTCTATGTTTCAGGTTCCCCTGGAAGCAGCAGTGATGCTCAAAAATCAAGAGAGGAAGGATCAAACACAGGTACCAGACGGTCTGCTTGAAGCAGAACCTTTGTTTTAGTATTTAATCTTTAGCATTTCACATCTATAGTACAGTTACTGACTGCAGAACATCCCTCAGAGGAAGAGTTTGGTGAGGGACTGTCCAGCACCAAACCAACTAATCACATCATCCTCATGTACTTTGTCTTTAATGCTAAGCAGCAAATGTTAGCCAAGCTGGCATCATGATCATCATAATTAACATGCATGTAGCCCATCTTAGTCTACTCTTTGACAGCATCAATGAGCAGTTAGCGTGGCTGTTGTTTTTTCATTCATTCTATAGTAAAAAGTCTTCAATAACGGCAGCTAGTTTTCAAATAGTTTCATTTTAACCTGACAGAATTCACCAGGACCAGCAAAGACAAGCAGCAGTAACAGCTCTGCAGCAACGTTCAGAGAGGATGAATACGAATCAGGTGTGTACAGAGCTACGATCTAAAAGTATGACTTTGAATAGAAGCGAAAGCTGGAACTATGATCTTTTTACAGCAGCTTCTGCACAACGCTCCACCCAAAGAGCCAATAACTCAAAGTCAGACCATCAACTTTACGAGTTCCCCACCCTTCCACAGGTACAATGGATCCATTCATAGTACTTTAAAATTAGTAAACAGCAGCATGTAAATGGAATCCATATTTTACAGGTGACTGCACCTGCCAGGGAGCCTTCAGCACCACCATACCCAGGAAATGTAATCCAATCTAAGGAGGAACAAATAAAGCAACAACCATTATCACATGTATGTCACTGTTTTAGACCTTAGGACTTTAGGTTTTACACATGTTTCTTCAGTTTAAGAAACGTTTTGTCTCTCTTAGGCAGTAGACAGTAGTGCAATGACAGGATATATAAACATTGACCCATCTGCAGACTATGCAACACCAGCAGCCAAAATCAAGGAGAAGCCAAAATCACGTATGTGTGACCAAAGAAATAAAGTTTATTCAAGACAAATTATTTTTAAAAAATTTGTCTGGGAAAAAAAACATTAAAGCAATCCTTTTTTCCTCACAGCACCCCCAACCTCACAACCATCTTTCCAAAGAGCCACCAGTGACCAGCAGCAGGAATTCTCCACAGGTTTGAAGGTAGAGTCCTGTGACTTTCTCAAAGAAATGTTTCAGCTTGTGTAACAAACCACCAGAGTTTGGTGTCATGAAGCAGTGTTTCGGTAAAACAAGAATAACATGTGTTTCTCTAAAAATGTTTCAGGTTAGAAGATCTGTCGGAGAACCTCAAAGTACTCGAGAACCGGAAACAGCAGAGCTGCTAGAAAAGAAAGAGACGAAGGATCAGAGACAGGTATTGAATAGACTGTACGAGGCCGACCTTTGTTCAGGCATTTAGTCAAATTTTAGCCATTAGCAGTCAACATTTGCATTACAGTGCATAACATCTTTCAGATGATGAGTCCAGCAACCACAAACCCAGCACCAGCAGGCCAAGCTGAGGAAAATCACACACAGAATCCAACATTTTCACAGGTACTGCAATTTAACACATTAGACTGATGACCTTTAACCCGTTAAGGCCTGAAATATGAATTGCCAGAAAATTCAACCGTATCTACAATGAACATCCAACACTGTAACAAAAAAAATATCTCCCCCTTTAAGTGATGAATGAGCTTTATGCATGTTTTTAAGCCAGTGTAGTCCTTTCTTTTATAAAATTGAGCCTCTTGTGACGTATACTAGGAACATTATTTTATTCATTCACTTTATTTCTGGTTGTTTTGAACGTTACGGCAAATGTTTCAATTTTAAACCTCCAGGCAAGCAAATCAGCCAGAGACCACCCGACAGCACCACCTCCGGTCCCGCCGAAGAAGAAGCATTCGGCTTTATTCAAGGAAAGGCTGGAGAGGTTCAAAGCTGAATTACAGCCAAAACTTCAGATGACAGAGGGGAAGAACTGTGAAGTCAGAGCCTGCAGACCAGAGGTAAACAGGAAGCTGTAGCATGTAGTCACCAACGGCACCTGATCAGAATTAATCTAATTAATTTAGCTACATTTGAACTTTTAATCTAAGACTTTTTAAGTATTGTCGTTGAAAACATCTTACAAATGTTTGAGATACAGTTTGTACTCTGAAATGTCTCAAATTTTAACAGCGATCCTCTCGTTTTTTGACAGAACGTTTCAGATGTAATGAGTGCAAACACACAAACAAGTCCTGCAGCAGCGGACGTCTCACTGAAGGACAATCCAACACAGTGTATGTGATCGTATGGTTCAGGCGATAAACATTCAGAATCAGAATACTTTATTAATCCCACAGGAAATGATGTGCCCCAAGACAGTAAGAGTAACTAACTCAACTAAATGAAATATTACAACATATAACAAAATAGCTCTACTTATAAATATCCTAGCTTATTACACAAAATTAAACATATATATAGTTGACAGTGAGGTGCCCCTCTATGATTTCAGGCTAATGCATTCATGCTCAATGATGTAGCTGTTGTGTTTGTGTTTGCAGTGGATCGCGCTGCAGAGGCTGAACTCTCCACTGGTGTGAAGGTACAGAGTCTTGCATATCTCTCACTCACAGTTGTGACACTGCAGAGCGTTCTGATGGGAATGCTTGAGTTTGGTTGTCGCTATGGATGTTTTTTCAGGTGAAGGAACTCGCCCGCATGTTTTCAGCCAAGGAAACGCTGATTTCAACAAAGGAGAAACACGGAGCCAACCAAAAACCATCTCAGGTAGAACACCCTCTTATATCCAGTGTTGGGAAGGTTACTTTTAAAATGTATTCCGTTACAGAATACAGATTACATGCCCCAAAATGTATTCTGTAACGTATTCCGTTACGTTACTCAATGACAGTAACGTATTCTGAATACTTTGGATTACTTAATATATTATCGTGCTTTTTACAACAACGTGAATGTACTATTGCTGTGTGATTTATTACTATTACTGAAGGTCCGCGACTCCGAACTGTAGTAAAGGGACCTCTGACTAATATGTCGGGGTCCCTGTCGGCTCGTAGCCGAAAAATAGCTTTACTTTGTTGTGTGGATCAACTTTTCTTGCGAGAGACAGAGAGAGGCGTTGAAAGACTGCTCCAACGGAACTTATTGTTTTCGGAGGAAAACACGAACACAGGTGTGCAGTCGAGTCTTAATAGCTTAATTACAACTGGGCTCGTCAGGCACTCTTCTTGGCTGAAGTGGTTATTATTATATTTACATGCTTCCAGCTCCCGTTTTTCCTCGATGACAACTCCAACCTTTCCACTCGCCTTTTTCTCCCTCCTCGCGCTCACAGACACATAACGTGTATGGCAGTGCATTCTCCCTGCAACACGGACTGTAGCATTCTGCCTGTTAGCTTAGCACAACAACAACAACGAAAAGGCGCTCTCTCACCCAGGAAACACACAGTCGCAGAAAGAGAGAGAGAGCGTCGCCCTGTAACCATGGCAACCGTAACGCTGCCGCCTGGAACGAAAGAACGTAGCTGTCAAACAAAACCCAAACAGTCCTGACCCGCGACAAAATGAAACAGGAAAGTACCGCAGTGTAATCCATTTATTTCAACAAAGTAACTGTATTCTGAATACCACCTTTTTAAACGGTAACTGTAACGGAATACAGTTACTCATATTTTGTATTCTAAATACGTAACGGCGGTACATGTATTCCGTTACTCCCCAACACTGCTTATATCCTCTACTACATTCCCAAGTTAGGGATAACCTAGAACAGGGCTGTCAAACATAAGGGCCAGGGTCCTGTATGGGCCTGGCAAAGACTTCAATCTGGCCCACTGGATGTTTTTGGAAAATGTGAAGGAGGTCATATATTTTAAGCTTTTTATTTTATAACTACAGACAGGTCTGTGAATTATGCTACCAGAACCTTTTCTGCAATTTATTTTTTACAATTTTCACGCAAAGAGCAGCGCTGACAGTCCTTTAACCTCAGTTTCCAACTGGGGGAAAAGAAGGAAAAAAAGGATCTTACGGCTTTGAGGTGCTCAATATGTAGAGCAATTTATTTATTTACAATTCATTATTTCCTAAATGCACTCAGCTGAAAACAGAATTCAGAATGTTCTCTCAGCTTCTCAGCTCTCAAATCAATTCCTCACTGCTGCTCAGTCCTCACATTTCAAGATCCCAGTTAACAGCTGGCTCTCTGCTGGCTGCCAGCTGGAGGTTGAGAGGCTGCTGTACATCCAGTCATCAAATACGCACTCAAAGCAGCCAATCAGCAGTCTCCACCTGTCTCAACAGTCAACACAAACCCACACATACGTTAATGGGAGGAGCCAAATATGTAAAACATGGGACATGATCATGATCACGGACCAACACCTGTGCTCGAGCCTGAAGGCTAAAATACACAAAATATAGAATCTTTAATCATGTCTACGATGACCCCCCACCCCAAACACCATTTAATGAATCACGGCTTTCTAATATGTTCAATATCTTTCAGGTGAAACTGCTGGCTCAAAGGTTTTCAGTCATTTCTGCCCAGGAAACAGCAGCCAAAGCAAAGGAGGAGCACGGGGAGGAGCAGAAACCCACACAGGTGCAGGGCGAGTGATCTGTTGCCTTTCCTCCATCAGTGGAAAAGTCATTTAGCTCTTTGATCCAGCCTGAAGTACCCAAATAACTCATGAGTGGATCCTGTTTTAGCTTCAAGCTGCTGGTTGAGCAAAATATTACATTTAAAGTTTTTATGTTGGAGTTCATTGTTTTTCTTTCTGTAGTTCAAGACCTTGTGTCCGTGTCGATGCAGCATCATCAGGCACGCACTCTTTATTTACAGAACACACACATTTATAACAGGAAAGAGTCGCTACTCTCGATGCGCCCGGCCTCAGGGTGCTCTCTCTCTCAAAGCAGTGGCTCTTGCTTCTCACTGTCAAGTATGCAGATCAGCTACAGCACCTCTGTGTGGGCATGTGTCCATCTCCAGGTCTGGGCAAACTGCCTAATAAGCACAGGTTAATTAGGGAATGCACAGCCCTAACCCTGTCCCAAATACTCCGCCTACTCTCTGCACCGCACTGCACCACTCCTCCTCCTGCAGTTGAGCCAGAACCGTGCCCCTCTGCAAGCATGTTTCACAGAAAAGCATGAGCTAGATGAATCCATCATGAAGCAAACATATATCATATATGTTTGCAATATATCACAGGAGACAAATACAGGGAGCTGTGTTGAAATTCTTCATGCGTTATAAACTATTATCCACCTTTTCTGACAGATGGTGACAGATTCAAAAAGCAATCCCATTGAAATCAATTCTGCAGCAGCGAAAGCATCACTAACAGCAGAGAAGGATCCCAAATTATGTAAGTCACAATATGAGAATGTTTATATGTAAAATTGAGAAAAATACAATAAAAAACATGGCTGATGATTACTATCATCTTTTTCTACAGCTTGTGAAAATGCACCACTCTCAGATTTCAAATTTCAAATTCAAATTCAAATTTTATTTGTCACGTACACAGTCATACACAGTACGATATGCAGTGAAATGCTTGGACAACTGCTCGTGACCTAAAGAAAACAAAAAAGGAAAAGGCTATGAATAAGATAGGAAATAAATATGAAAAATTAAAAAGGGTAAATTTAATTAGGAAGGAATAAAATATAAATTAAGGTTAAAAATGAAATAACTGTACAACACAAATTAGAATGAAGGGTAAATTTAACTGGGAAAGAATAAGATAAAATATATAAATTAAAGTTGAAAATAAAATAACTGTACAACAAAATACACAATATAGAACTATATAAGAATGTATGAAGAAATATAAATAAATATATACACAATAACAGCAGCGTGATTTAAGTAATGAAGTGAAACAATGTCCAGAATGTCCAGTGTGTGTGTAAGAACCATATGTGTGGGTCAGTACTGTGTGGTGGTGTGATTGAGAGACCGTATCGCCTGCGGGAAGAAGCTCCTCCTCAGTCTCTCTGTGTTGGTCTTCAGGGAGCGGAATCGCTTTCCTGACCTCAGCAGAGAGAACAGTCTGTTGTTGGGATGGCTGAGGTCCTTCACCATCTTCCTGGCCTTGGTCCAGCACCGCCTGCTGTAGATTGAGTGCAGGTCAGGGAGCTCGGAGCGGATGGTGCGCTCAGCTGACCGCACAACCCTCTGTAGAGCTTGTCTGTCCTGCATGGTGCTGTTCCCGAACCAGGTTAAGATGTTTCCCGTCAGGATGCTCTCTATGGTGCAGGAGTAAAAGTTCCTGAGCACCTTGGAGGGCAGTTGGAAGTCTCTCAAGCGTCTGAGGTGGTAGAGACGCTGACGGGCCTTTTTCACCACGGTGTTGATGTGACAGGACCATGACAGGTCCTGCGTGATGTGAACTCCGAGGTATTTGAAGCTGTCCACTCTCTCCACTGGGCACTCGTTGATGACGGGGGTCTGGTAGTTCCTCTCCTGCTTAGTGCTGAAGTCCACTATCAGCTCCTTTGTCTTACTGACGTTTAGAAGGAGGTTGTTCCTCTGGCACCAGTTCTCCAGATTCCTAATCTCCTTCAGGTAGGCCGTCTCGTTGTTATCAGAGATCAGGCCCACCACAACGGTGTCGTCAGCAAACTTGATGATGGTGGTGGAGCTGGTAGTGGCCACACAGTCATATGTGTACAAAGAGTACAGCAGGGGGCTCAGAACACACCCCTGGGGGGCTCCAGTGCTGAGAGTGGTGGAGGCTGAGACATGTCCGCCCATCCTTACTGCCTGTGGTCTGCCAGTTAGGAAGTTGGAGATCCACTGACACATAGATGAGCTGAGTCCCAGATGCTCCAGCTTGGTGGTGAGTGTGGAGGGAATTATGGTATTAAATGCAGAGCTGTAGTCTATGAAGAGCATTTTAACATAATTCCCCCTTCTAGTGTCCAAGTGAGTGAGTGATGTGTGGAGGAGATGAGAGATGGCATCGTCTGTGGAACGATTTGGACGGTAAGAGAACTGTAGTGGGTCCAGTGTGTCTGGTAGTGAAGAAATGATGAAGTCTCTGACCAGGCGTTCAAAGCACTTCATCACTACTGAGGTGAGGGCTACAGGGCGATAGTCATTGAGAGAAGCAGGGTGGGGTTTCTTCGGGACAGGAACAATGATGGACTCTTTGAAGCATGTGGGGATCACCAACTGAGATAAAGAGATGTTGAATATCTCAGTGAACACAGGAGCTAGCTGGTATGCGCAGTCTCTGAGGATACGACCTGGGATGCCGTCTGGTCCTGCTGCTTTCCTGGTGTTCACTCTTCTGAGGGCTCTCCTTACTTCATGCTCGCAGATGACGAGCACATTTCCGGTGCTGGCAGTATCTTCCTGTCTGCAGCCGTTAGCGCCGCTAACACTAGCATCGTTGGAGTCCTTAGCTGCAGCCTCGAAGCGAGCATAGAAAGTGTTCAGCTCGTCTGCCAGAGTCACGGCCGCGTTCATCATACCGGTTGTTGGTGCTTTATAGTCCGTTATTGTCCTTAGTCCACAGGCTCCTAGAGTCACTCTGTTGGAGTTGTGACTCTAGTTTCCTCCCGTAGCGCTGCTTCGCCTCTTTCACCGCCCTCCGCACGTTATATGACGCGGCTTTGTACGGGTCCATGTCCCCCGTCGTGAGTCCCGTGTTGTAGGCAGCGGTGCGGGATTTCTCCTCTGTTTTGAAGGTACGACTTCCTGTACACGCACTCGTTCAGCCAGACCTTACAGCCTATTTTTTTTTACTGCAACTGCTGCACCTCAATGTGTCTTTACTTCAGGAGAGGTTTTACCTGTTTTCTTTGCTTCAGCACCCGCCCCCTTCCCTGATGAGCGGAGTAACAGAGTTACTGTAATCTGATTACTTTTTTCAAGTAACGAGTAAAGTAAGGGATTACTATTGCAAAAACGGTAATTAGATTACTGTTACTTTTCCGTATGAACGCTGCGTTACTGCGTTACTAAAACTGTGATTTTTTTGCGAGAATGTCTCATGACAGTGACGTAAGCGAGCGCCGTTAGTGACAACAGCTGTGTGCAGATCAACAATGGATCGCATATCGATTGTGGGAGAGAGTATGAGCGTGCAGCGTTTAAAGCGTGGAAGCACTGACCTTACTTTGAGTTTGATTCCATAAAAAGTGACAGAAACATTAGCGTCCATCGTGCGTGGGAAGAAAACTTATTTTTACAGCGAAAAAAAACCCTAAACTTCCAAGCAAGCACCGAGTAGCTACCACGTAATGGGAAACTCACAGAGAAACTCGCGGATTCTTCAACTGACCACAGCACACCTGCACCAGGGTAAACCTCTGCCTACCGCAGTTTTTTTTTTTTTTTTTTGCCTACCGCAGTCCTGCTTTACAGGTGAAAATAGAGCAACAGGACCGCTGAGTCTTTGACTTTATTTATTTTCTGCTGTGTTTTACTTGCATCTATTTGAAAGACTGAGTGTAAACACAAAAAATATTTTATTCTATGTGCTGGAATGTGCAGAAAATAGGTTTAAATGTTAAACTAATTTATTCAATTCAGAGAATGTTGCATATAATTGAATTTTTGCTTGATGCATAAAGTTAAAAGATTAAAACTGATAAAACAAGTTAAAAAAAGAGACTTTTCCATTTGATTACATTTTGTATGATGGATTATGTAGAAAAAGTAGAATTGGGCTGAAAGATCTATCGCTTTATCACCTATTCAGGTTGTAAATCGTGTTTTTAAAAAGTAACTAAGTAATTAATTACTTTTTTCAAGTAACTTGACCAACACTACTGATGAGTGCCCAAAGTGCCCTTTTGTTGAGGCAACTTTAAAAAGAAAAAAAAAGAAAAATTATATATATATATATATATATATATATATATATATATATATATTATGTGTGTGGGCGTGCAGAGTCCTCAACAATAATATTTAACTATTAATCACGGTTTTCCTAAATAAAAGGATCTGGCTTGCATCAGTCACATAATCACATTTAACCAATGATCGCTCTTGACGGCAGAACGCGCTGGTTACGAGCCGGGAACGAGCTCACAAAGAGCACGTATATATCCATATGTATATGGATTTTTTTAAATTAGTACTCTTGATATAACATTGTCCAGACATGCCTGGTAAGGACATGAGGAGGAAACAGTAGGAGCTGTGTGAGGCTACTAAAGGCAGGGCTATAACATTTTTCTGTCATCATTTTATTATAGATTAAGTGCAAGAGTTGTTAGGTGTGGATAATTAAATTATAGTTTAGTGCAATAGCAAGTTGTGCCTTGTTCTCAGATAGACAGCAAGTGGAGAGATATATATGAAATGATGGGATGGAAGGAAGAAGAGAAGCAAAGAGTGATTCACAGGCAGAGCCTAAATTATTTCTCACAGTTTTTGTTGCCTTATGGTTCCAAGTGCTGTCACCAATCTTTGCATTTTGTTATTATCTCATGATACTTGTTTAATCAGCCACCATCTCTCCTATGGACTTTTTAATGTCTACAATCTCAGCTCAACACAGCCCTGCCCTCCAGCACTATCAGCAGCAGGAGCAGCAGAAACCCCTCAACAGCAACATTGTACCTATAAGGCAGGGGCGATTTCACAATGAACTCACCCGAAACTCTGGCTGATTGGGACCCACACCCAGTTTCACACCTTGGCTCAGGCGATTAGAGGATCATTAGGGGGTCCTTTTGTCCCTCTGTGGGGGGTTACTCCCACTAGGTTTATATCTGGGACTCTCCACCATTTGACCTTAGAACTGAAGAAGCTTCTCGGATGTGAGGTGAAACGTCTTCAAGCAACTTAAAGAAGTCCAGACGCTTTTCTTTGCAAGCTCCTTTGACTACAACAGCATTCGTTTTCATTTAAAGGCTTTAATACCTGGTGGGTCGGTCTCTAGTCAAAATACTGGGCCGATTTTTTTTTTGTCCCAGCCCAGTATTTGTTACATGCGCTCAAAGTTTATTTTGTTTTGGTTTGGTTTATTTGGGTTTTTTTTTTTTTTTTTTTTTTACGTGTGCTCAGAGCTCACATGGCACAAAAATAACGCCATACCCTGCCTACCTAGTCCACGTAGACCGCTGGATTGGGACACAGCTCCGGTCTGCTGTCATAAGTCTCCATGTTGCTTTTGTTTCATGCTGGAAATGGGAAATAAATAAACTCATCTGTCTCTCTCTGTCTCTGTCTTCTTTATCGTCCAATTAGTCGAGCGCAGGAGGATATGATAATTACAGAGTATAGCCAGTACACTTTTTGTGTTGTTCAGCATGAAACATGAAAGAAAGACTTGCGCGAGTGTCTTTTTCACGCAAAGCCCCACACGTGTGGTAAACACCTTCTCCTTTACACTACAGTATA